ATAAAATTATATTGCATTATATTTTTGCTATAATAAAATTATGGATAGGGTAAGAACCTCACATATATATTTTTTAATAATTTAACTACATTCATCATGACATAGTGTGTTTCTCGATCTTTTAACGAACAAACCAGCGTTTCTATAATTTTTCCTTTAAAAATATATACTCGTACGTGTCGATCGACCTGCCCTCGATCCGTACCCCGGTTCAAATTACTCGACATAAATAAACCCAACCTACTACTGGATGATTATGAGTATCGAGATACCTGCATATATGCTCCTTTGTTGTTGCTAACCAGACAACTGATGAACGGTACTCGACACTTCCAAGTTCCAAACAACAATTCAAGGATATGTCTCCCAGACAACATAGAGATAACCCATTCGTCAATGGAACATCTTATCCGTTGGGTTATGACGTTGATGTAAAATGGGCTTTGGCCCATGGACCTAGGTTAAGATCCGACTGCCCTAGAGGGCTTTGGTAACCTCGGCTAGGGTTAGAGAAGAATGGCCGAGGTATGTATATATGTGTGTAACAGAGGTTACGTTGGGATACAGTGAAATAAGAAAGAACGGCTCCTTCTCGTGGATTAGTGTTGTTCGATTTTTATCGAACAAGGAAACTACGTAAACTCCGTCTCGTTTCGATCTCTGCTTAGTATCTCAATCTCGTATTATGTTATCTCACATTATGACCTCTTCTCATCTTTCGTTGAATGGTTTCCTCTCTCTTTTCTCACCACCACCGCCATTAGACTCCAGTTTGTGCCGACACTGTGCACGTACGTCGGTTGCGTTTCGTCAAATATCAGTTACATTTTCCCATCTTTCGGCTTAGAGGAGATAGCTATCTCTTCTCCGCGCAGCATATGTACGTAATAGAGCTAACCCAACCTGTATAGCGCCACATGATAGTGTTGGGAAATATAGTGTCTAATTCTCTTTGATTATTTTACGGTGTAAAAGGTCAACAATGGCGATCTCTAGCTTGCGTTTCGATATATACGATGTGAATAATCTTTTCCTTATCTCTTGCATACGTACATTTCGTCGGATCAAACATTTGAATAGTACTCTACCTATCTAGAAATTTGTCGGATCAAACCTTTTCCTTTGGTCATAAGGAATTACAACAACAATCCCTTTGACCATTGGTGCTGTAATATATATACTTTGGTGCTTTTAATGCCTTATTCGGTAGCGGTTTGGTATGTTTTTCGGGTCTTGTCATGGTAGAACAAATCAACAAATCTATCTAAATTACACAGCAAACGAGAAATCATCGTAATATATTTGGAATTGGGACGATAAGTCAAGAAATTGAAACTAATAAAACTCTGAAAAATCGTAGAAAGTAAATGATATGCTAATCAAGTAAATTTCGGGGCAAAACTCAATCTAGACAATGCTTGTTGAAATGATATTAATTTTTTACGATAATAACGACCATTATGAACTTTAATTGGATTTGGTTTTTAGTTAACCAGAAAATCCAAACCGGTGTAGTGTCAATATAGAATATATATAGTATCTTCTTTGTTTTGTTTCAACTAACGATTGAAAAACCGTACCATATTAACAGTTCGATCAGAAAAATTTGCTACCGGAAACGAAATCGATAATCGCAATATTTATCATATGAAATGGTTAAACCATAATTTCAACATAACATAACCTACCGCTGACTTTCTCTCTCGGGAGTACTGTATTTCAATCCTTGTACTTTCAAGAAAGGGGTCCCATATTTTCGGTGCCCTCATCGCACAAAAATTGTTCGATGATAATGAAGTGTTTTGTTGCTAGTTAAGCTAACCTGCATCTGCATGTAGTCGCAAAAAGTCCCCCTCCACATTATTCATTTGACTTTGTTTCAGCACAAGCACCAACTTTAAATGTTAAACAAAACCGTTTGAGAAGGATTATAATCCATAAACCCCTTTTATTATGATGGGTGTGGGGAGGAAGTTAGAGTGGGCGCGCAGAACTAATCAAGGTTTTAAATTAATAGAGAGGTATTAATTAACAAATCAAGCAAGATACATGCTAATCCGCGTTTAATATATAGCTATTGGTTATTACATCTGGTAGGATTATTCATTAATTTTTCAAAGCTTCGAACTCATCGATTAGCGCTACATAAAATTCATTAAATATGTGCTGACAAATTAGGGTCAACGTGTACGTAGATTGACTTTGCTTAACTTGCATTATGATAAAGAGAAGGGCAGAAACTAACCCTGCTTTCCTTTTTCCCTTGCCTTTCACACACACAATTAACTCAGGTATGATACAAGTGTTGTTGACTATATATGAAGCGTACTATACGCTGGGACGACGTTGCGCATAAAAGTTTTGTTTTCACGCTACGTCACTAATTATTAACACAGATTGAACTACGTTGATGGCTTGATGCACATGACTTTTTTTTTACACTCTCATAAATATCATTTATTAATCAATCTATGTTTTTCCACGTAGTCTTATAAATTGTATGAAAAAAATAAGTCATGTACGTGCATAATTTGTAACGTTGCATGAATAGCAGAATGTCGTATTGTGGGACAAGAAATTTTCCTTTCCTTACTACGAGGGATATCGATCCACACTATTACTAATGCACTTTTGACAAATTAAACAGGTTACAATAAGTTAGAAAGACTATAACGAATGTAATTGCTGAAATTGTTGAGATGACAATCAAAACCCCCTAGTAAAATTACAAATGAATTGCATGGATAAAAATGGGCTAATCCGAAAACAAAAAATAATTAGACGGCAAAACAATAGCAGAGAGCCACAATCCCTATCACCTTTCCCTTTTTCAGAAAGGACATTATGATCCGTATACCTCACACCATGCGGCCTGAAGGGTAATTAATTATTTTCGTAATCTAACATTAAATCATAATCCTTAGTGGTACATGTTTAATTAGATTTAGATTAGGCCGCCGGCCGGATTGATTATGAAGGAATAAAGTCAACCGGCAGTGCCATTAACATAAATTAAAAAACTGACCGGCCGAGAAGCCGGACCGATGTATGCAAAAGCCGGCTGTGGCAATCTTTGTTTTTTTTTTTTTTGTCATAGATAGTTTGTAATAGATAGAGTGTTACAATGCAGTGGAAATATAAAGGCGGTAGTCAACCAACTAGGTTGCTACCGATGCAAGGGCCATTTATGCCACACGATCGGCAGCCCTGTTAGTATGCCTAGTAACATAAAAAAACCAAAAAACGCAAAGAAAGTCTTCTTTTAGCAAACTCCTTCAAGCACCAATTCGTCGAGTTCCAATAGCCTAGCAGTAGATTTGATGTGCAAGGTACCTGCAAAATAACACGCAGACAACCACTAACAGGACAAACAAAATTACAATACAATCGGACTTCCACCGAAAATGCTACACAAGCTATACAGACTATGCCTTCTGCAACACAAAAACAAATATGACAAAGCCAACTAGTAGAAGAAATATACTCCATGTCCGACGACAACCAAATCCTCAATATCATTAAAAGACACCGAATTACAAAACAATTGCAACTCCCATCAAAAATACCAAACACAATCGTAAACATAATAATAATTAAATATAAATTTAAGAAAGAATTAATAGACTTATCTGAATGCAGGATAGGATCCGTGTTTGAAATTGTGACTGCCTATTCATTAGAATTTTAACCGCCATGAAATTATAACCGTCCGAAGGCCGGAGCGTTTTGAACAAGAATGAAGCCACGGGAGAGGTAACTGTACAAAGATGTAACTGCAGCCCACTAGCCTGGCCGATTGTCGGCAAGGCTCGTCATCCGCCGGAAAGACTCACCAAAGATCCCAGCCCACAACTCCTGCAAAAAATAGGCAAAACTCACCGGAAAGGGTGTCAAAGATGGGGAAACACCACAAGCGGCTACGCACAAGGGCGTTGGGCAGCAAATTGCTGGAGCGCATAGTTGCGGAGAAAAGTAAAAATCAAAATCCGTCGAACTCGACCCTTCTATCTGAAATCATCGTGAGTGCGTTACACGGGATTATCGAGGATAATTATATAAGAAATTAAATAAATAATAGTAATAATAAAAAAGGAGAGAGCACTTATCCAACGCAACCGCCACCGTACGGAATTGTAACCGCCAACGGTGACTTCGTCGTCATCCAGCCCTCCTCCTAGCGCCGTCGTCCTCATCACTGTCCTCGTTCGTGGTCGGCGTCGGATCTCCCTTTGTTGGTCGCCAGAGCAAAAGACGGGACGGGAGATGATTCTCGATGTTGATCTCCCCTTCTTCCTTCACAAAACTGCTCGTATCGATGACATCAGCAACATCATCGTGCCTCGTGGGCAGGAAGGACGTGGCAGCCCGGTCGGGAGCGTACGCGCCGCCGCCTTCAATTCTCACGTTGCTCCTCGCGACGGCAGACCAGAGTTTCATGAAATCACCCAAAGTGCACCCGGCCAGATATCCCTTGGAAAATAAGATAATTCTTCTTCCTTTTGGTTTTGGTAGGAAGGAGAGGAAGAAATATCATAATTGATCCGCTTTCTGTTTTCATGGTTTTTGCTTCGTAGTTTGACTACAGACTTGCTTCCCTCCCTCTCTCATCTCCCATTGTTGGCGACCTCGCAGGTTTCCTGTGGCAATCTTTGTTGGCCGTCAGGATCAAAATGGGGGGGGAAATTATTAAACTAGAAAATGGGGGGAAATGGGGAAAAAATTATTAAACTAGAAAATGTCGTCGCCATGACTCCAAAAAGTCCAATGCTCCCCCGCCATTTTTTAATAACTCTCTGTATGTTCCTTGCTCCATCGCCATCCAACCGTTTTGACTCCGCCACTCTCCGCCTATATATACTCCCCTCTTCCCCCTACCAAACCATCATCATCAAATCCCACTGCAAAATCATCTCTTTCCACTGCTTAATCACCCGCGAAAAAACAGAGTGCCAAAATCCCCTGTTTTTCCAAACACAAGCTCTCTCTTCTTTCCATTAGACATGGCTCGTGCTTCTGGTATTGTGTTGATCCTATTGGTCGTCATCTCCGCTTCGTTTTTCTCCAACACGGAGGCGAGGAAGCTGCTATCGACGAGCGGCGGCGACGGCGGGGGTGGAGCAATCAGCGTAAGAGCTCTGCTCCAGAGCTTGCTTCTCAGGGCCCTTCCGAAGGGCACTTCTCCGAGCAAGAAGGGTCAATCGACAAAGACGTTGGATAATGTGGAGCGGTTTCAGAGGCATATTGCTCGTATGGATCGGATCCTGGGCTCTGTTCCCAGCCCCGGCGTTGGACATTAATTACCTTCCCTTTCACTATCACTCTGTTTTTGTTTTGATTTTTATACACCTTAGGAAACAGAGTACTTGAACATTGACGATTTTTGTTTGATTCGTAGGCAGGAAACTGTATAGAGACACACTGAAATCTCTTCTTCTTTTCTGGGTTTTCTTTGTTTTCAGTTCCTTTATGCTCAATTTCTACTTGTATTGCTATCATTAGAATTCTGGGGATTGTATCTGTTATCATCAACCCCCTTTATACGAAAGAGAAATATATCACTATACATCACTAAATCTTTGTTATTCAAATCGTTGAGAGAGTCAGAGACCTTCTTTTTCCTGGGAAAGGGGGAAGAAAGTAGTGATCCATGCGCGTAATGCATTGCCATTTGCCACCCAATTGGAGGCCTTGTCTGAAATCCCCAGAGGCCGGCAGGATTCAAGCTTCGCTTTCTCGAATTACAACTTACCCATCTCCATACAATAATATTGCTTTCTACCTGCTCCATTCTAAGGTAGTTGTTTCTGCCACCAGTTCATACTTCTATAGGCTTCTGTTTCAAATGGGTCTATGCCAACTTGATGTACTCGACATAGGGGAAATAGCTTGATTGTGATTAACTCACTCAAGCCAACTTGTTCACCATCAGTCTCGACTCTGCCGTATATGGCATCAATGTAGATATAGCTACTGATTCAGGGCACATAATGTAGTTGGGTTTACTTAAAACAGAAGGACTAAAAGGCCAAGTTGGACGAGATTAGTAAATTCTAAACATCTAGTTGGTTCCTATAATTCAGATTGTTATAGGAGGTTTAATAATGGATTTATTACCACACAGGCACACACTAACATACTCCTCAAATGAAAATGAAAGTTGTCACTTGAGCAGGTCGTGAAGACTTTTCGACCATAAAAGATTCTAATACTATGTCAACAATCACTTTGTCCCAATAACTCGAATTTGGGAAAACCCCAATAATAAATCTAATTATCAGAAGAAAACGAAGGTTTTTCACCATCAATATTCAAATCTCCAACGGTCCTGAACAAAGCAGAGTCGTCTGTAGGGGAGAAGGAGACGAACCAAAGCGACACCGCATTACCATCAGCAAATTTGAAGAAGAGATCCTGGAGTGACGTCGTTTTTGGCAAAGTGTCAAGTAGTACCCGAACTTATTATTTCAACCTTTTACCCTTTTCGGATTGTACTTACTTTTTCCCTAAGTGTGTCTTCTTTCTTGAATTGTAAGTTACAACAGATGCTTGTACTCTTTTATCCAGCTATATAAGTTGAATTGTGAAATGAGAACACCTCGGGTGATTAGGTTTCTCAATCCAAAAGTGTTGTTATGGTATTAGAGCCTCTCTAAATTCTAGCTGCCGCCGACATGGCTGAAAATGTCCAACCAAATGCAGGTGCAAATGCTGCTTCAAATGCACATCCAACTGTTGATCCCATGGCAGATCCGTATTACCTCCATGGTTCTGACCAGCCCGGATTGTTGTTGGTGGGAGAGAAACTTACCACCACCAACTACAATGACTAGATTCAGGCCATGTTGAATACTTTAGGAGCCAAGAACAAGCTTGCCTTCATCAATTGTTCCATAGTTCCATTCCCCGCCCAGGAGACAATCACCAGAATGCCTGGGCCTGGAACAGGAACAACATTATGGTTCTTTCCTGGATTCAGCAAGCAGTTGAGTCTAGCATTAGGAAGACAATCATGCCCTGCAAGACATCACTTGAAGCCTGGAAAGTCTGAGATCCAGATATGGCCAAGGAGATGTGGTAAGAATTACTGAACTTACTAAATCTCTAAGCAATCTCAAACAAGGTAGTCAATATGTCACCGAATATTATGGTAACCTCATTGCTATTCGAGATGAGTTTGATAATTACCAGCCTCTTGAACCCTACAATTGCACACCAACTAGTAGAGAAATATGTGCATCAATGAGATTAGTCTTTGCCTATAGAGACACCAATTATGTCATCTAGTTTCTAAGGGGGTTGACTGAGAACTTTTCAAGTGTGAGATCCCAAGTTCTTTTCGGTGATGCTCTGCCATCCATTGATCGTGTCTTTAAAAGAATGCTGCAAGATGAGCGCCACAATATGGGACACAGCACATCAAAGTCCTTGTTGTGGAAACTCTGAGTCTGGCACACAAAGCAGTAATAACCCTCAAGTCAGAAGGCCTAAACCTTACTGCACTCACTGCAAATTTCTTGGTCACACTGAGGAGACCTGTTACCACAAACATGGGTGGCCACCATGCATGAAGTCCAAGCAGACTAATTCTTCTGGAAGAACACTAGAATGTACCTACTTCAAGAAACAATGACACACTAAGGATAAATGTTTCAGCAAACATGGCTATCCCAATCCAAGAGGTGCACCTAGGAGCAAACCTCAGGCTAACTCAGCAAGTTAAGAGGACTTGCACTAGGAAGTCAAGCTCACCAAAGCGGATTACTTGAAGTTGATGTCCGTCATGAATGACAAAGGTAATCCAAGGTCTCATAGCAGTGGCAACCCATCGTTTTCTGTTGCTAGATTCATCAACAAGCCAACAGATTCTTTAGGTAAATTTTTGCTCAATGTGAGTGATAAATCACCACATTACCAAACATGGATCCTTGATACAGGTGCCTCTGACCACATTGTTTGTTCTCTTAGTCATCTTACAAACTACAGAAGCATAAACAACATTTACATTATCCTCCCCACAAGAGATAAGGTTCAAGCAACACATACGTGCACTGCCACCTATGTTGCTTGCCTAATTTTGCATGAAGCTTTGTTTGTCCCTCAATTTAGCTTCAACCTCATCTTACAAACTACAGAAGCATATACAACATTTACATTACCCTCCCCACAAGAGATAAGGTTCAAGCAACACATACATGCACCGTCACCTGTGTTGCTTGCCTAATTTTGCATGAAGCTTTGTTTGTCCCTCAATTTAGCTTCAACCTCATCTATGTCAGTCAACTGACCAAAGACAAATCCCTTTGTTTGACCTTCTTCTCAGATGTCTGCTTGATCCAGGATATGCAGCTGAGGCGGATGACTGGTTCTGCTAAGCTATCCTATGGCCTTTACCACCTAGAGACCATTGTAGATACCAATCAATCCAAACATATCTCAACTGCCAGCATACACAACTTTGATCTTTGACACCATAGACTAGGACATGTCTCCCACTCCAAAGTGACAATTTTGAATACTTTTTGTCCACAAATAGATACCAACAGTTCTCTACCCTGTGATGTCTGTCATTTTGCTAGGCAGAAGAGACTTCCTTTCCCTTCTAGTCATTTTGTAACCAAACAAGGTTTTGAATTGCTACATATTTACATCTGGGGACCAAATCTTGTTCCCAGTTATGATGGTTTCAAGTACTTTCTTACCATTGTTGATGATTTCAGTCGAATGACTTGGTTGATTCTTTTACAAACTAAATCAGAAGCTTGACCAAAACTTCAAGCTTTATGTTCTTATGTTTCCAAACCAATATAAGGAAGATTAGAAGTGATCAAGGTAGAGAATTTGCAATGACGGATTTCTATAACCAAACTAGCATTCTTCATGAACATTCGTGTGTTGAAACTCCACAACAAAACAACAAAGTGGGGAGGGAACATCAGCACATTCTTGATGTAGCTAGAGCCCTAAAATTTCAAAGTTAATCTTCCCTCTGCCTTCTGGGCTGATTGTGTCAAGCATTCAGTTTATTTAATCAAGTGGGTTCCTACAATTATCCTAGAGAACCTAACTCCTTATGAAAAACTTCACAACCAAAAACCAGGCCTGTCTGATCTTAAAGTCTTTGGATGCTTATGTTTGCTAGCACTCTTGCAAACCATAGAGCAAAATTTGACGCTAGAGCTAGAAAAGGAGTGTTTATTGGTTTCCAAAGTGGGATGAAAGGTTACAAAATCTATGATCTCATGGCTCAGGATGTCTTTGTCTCTAGAGATGTTCAATTTCATGAACATGTTTTTTCCCTTCCACAATTCTAACCCAGACCGTTCCCCAGCCTATTCCACTCCCTCTGATCCAACATTATATGATGATCCCAGTCCATCCTACTCTCCCCCAAATCAACCTACTCCAACTCCAGAACCCTTACCATTCACTCAGGACAACCCTTTTGACACAAATGATGACACTGACTCCATCCCAGAGTCATCTTCTGCCCCCACCACCAACTTCCTCCCCACCACCCACCCCTCCACTCTCTCTCAGAAAATCCAATAGAATCATCAAACATCCTACCCACCTCCAGCAATACCATTGTAACCTGCTTCAGCAGAGTTCTTCTACTGGTCATTCAACTCAGTTGTCATCTCCATGTATCACCTACCCACTCTCTTCAGTACTTGATTACTCTAATCTTTCTCCCACTCACAAACACTTTGTTCTAAGCATCTCTTCTCAAAAGGAACTTCAGCCTACAAGGAAGGCATTCAATTTCCGGAATGGAACGATGCTATGACAAATGAGACAATGGCTTTGGAAGCCAATCACACTTGGGATGTAGTTGAACTACCTCCTGGCAAGAAAGCAGTTGGTAACAAGTGGGTCTATAAAAACAAACACCTCTCAGATGGAAGCTTAGAGAGGCAGAAGGCTCGACTTGTAGCCAAAGGCTACAGTCAACAAGAAGGAGTAGACTACCATGATACTTTGGGAGACGCCTTTGGCAGTCGTTTCGTATGGAATTTTCAGGTCTCATCATGCATGATAGAACAAACGTAAAAACACATGAGATCGAACAAACCTGCATTCTGATGTTAAACGCAATTTGACCATTAATTGTTTCAACAAAAGGGGTCCCATTTTCGGTGCCCTCGTTTCACAAAATTGTTAGATGATAATGAAGTTTTTAAGTTGCTAGTTCTTGAACTTATAGCTAACCTGCATCTCTGCATGTAGTCGCAAAATGTCCCCCTCCACATTATTCATTTGACTTAGTTTCTGCACAGGACACCAACCCTAAATAATT